CTGGTGCCTACTTTGTTTTCAACTCACTACCTTGGTGAGCAGCCAATGGGTCTGACCCAGACAGTGAAGGAAAATCAGGTCACGCATCCTTTTTATCAGAAACCTACTCCCATAATAATGGCATTGAGCCATTCATGAGAATGGAGTCTCTTGAGACCTGATCACCTTCAATGTCCCCACCTCTCAACTCTGTGACGATGGTGATTGTGTTTAGTATGACTTTGCTAGAGACAGAACCAGCCATGGTGCCAGCACTGGACACAGCAGATCTTCCCCCAAGGTGGGAAGGACTTCCGCTGTCTTCTGGCCCAGGGTTGATAGATGATCGAGTCAAGGCCACGGCAGAACCCCAGGCATCAGCCTCTTGCTCACCAGGAGAGACCTGGGACCCTTGGGTATCGTTGTATGTATTTCATAAAGAAGGAAGCGAGAAACCAAAACTTTATAATTTATGGATTAAATGGAATTAATAAATCCGACCACTGTGACTTGCTGGTCAGCCACAGATGGGCTAGGATGGGTTTTACTCAGAACTAAGTGGGGAAACACGTTACAGCGGTAGTTATGGGTCAGCAAAGTGGGTCCCCCAGCTCCATCCAGTCAGGCTCTCCGGAAGCTGATCAGAGATCCTGGAACATGTGATGTCTTCAGATCAGACTTCTGAATGACCCCCGATAATTCAGGAGTACTCAGCACTATCCCATTTCTTTGGCTATGGATCGGTGGCCTGTAACTGAGATTAAAAAGCCACATGAGCGTATTTAAGATACAGTAAGGAAAAGCATGGCATGACATTCTGCTGATTTTTCTTTTACCCATCCTCCCCCAGCCCCACAACCGGTCCTTTTGAGTCTTTCGTGAGGATCGCTGTCCTCAGCTCTGTCTACCCTCCCTGTTAGTCCCCTGAATGTAAGGCGTCACACTTCACTTTCCGCGCGGTCTAGGAGGTGACATCATAGATGACGGTGGTGACCCAGAGCGCCTTCTCCCACGGAGGCCGCTCCGTCCCCACCAGCACCTTCCTCCAGGCACCAGGCACACACTGCCAGCTCTCCCTTCTTCCAGGGTAAATTTCAAGTATATGTTTGTATCTGAAATGTACTGACTTTTAAATATTGGCAACTAATTCGCATGTTTAAGAAAACACGCTGTGGGCCAAACAAAACATCTCAGAGAACACGAGTTTGAGTTTCTGGCTGTAGGTTTTGGATGCTTGGAGATCTCCCGCTGTTGTTATCTTCTTACTTCACAGTCTTCCCTAGGAGCCTCATCCGGCCCCATGGCTTGAAAACCTTCTCTGTGCAGAACCCTTGGGAATGTACAGATGGCCGGGGCCTCTCCTCTGCGCTCCAGGCGCCTGCACCTAGCGGCCACCTCCGCCTCTCCCTCAAGGCCTCACGAGCACCTCACACTCACAGCATGTGCAAAACTAAGCTCTAGACCTGTCTCCAGGACACTCTCCCCTTCGTCCTCCCCTCTTGGCTCCATCCAGAAACACGGTTATTCTCTGATTTCTACTCTCTTGTTGCCGCTATGAGTAAGTAGTCCATGCTATAGAGTAATCACTGCAAGTCATTCTCCAGTTTCTCTGCTCATCTCCACTCCTGTGGTCTCAGGAAGCCAGCACGTTCACGGGTAATTCTGTAACCATGTCCTTGCTGAACTCCTTCTGCTTATTGGCCAGCTGCAGCCAGAGTGATCTCTTAAAATATTAAGGAGATCAGACTGTTCCCTGTTTAAAATCTCCCAGTGGCTTTACAGTGCATGAAAATGAAGAGAAGAAAGTATGTCAATTATTTCTCATCTGTAAAATGAGACTAAAAATACCAACAGAGATAGATAGATAGGTAGATAGGTAGATAGATAGATAGATAGATAGATAGATAGATAGATAGATAGATAGATAGATAGATAGATAGATAGATAGATAGATGGACACACATCCAGTTTCACATTTTTTCTAAAGATCTAGTTCCATTGAGTATTTGTTGAATGCCATCATTTTCAAGTACTGCATTCCTTTTCCTCCCAGTACTGCTCCAGTTGCATTCTGTCCTTGAAATGAAGGATCCCTGTGAACTTTGTATACTTATTGATCCTAGAAACAGGGCTCAGTCTTGATGTTGGTGTTTCCTTGTAAATCGCCCCATTTCTGATTCTTTAGGCTGTAACTCTTTATGAGTTCTTTTTATTTTTTTCCCCTCAAAATATCTTAGGAATTCATTACTCTTCGTGAAACTCATAAATCTTCCTTAACTGTGCCTGAACGATACATATATATATATCATATATGAATATATATCATATATGGACATATATATCACATATATGCATGCATATGTATGTATCTATCGTACGTACATCAGTGATTATCAGAGGGAGAGTATTATAACCGTCGTTCTCCTTATCTCTTAGACATTTTTAGACAGTTTTAATTGCATGCTCTGTAACAGAATGTACGAGAGCTGTGCAGTTTAAGGCTGTCTCGCGGCAGTCAGCACTTCCCAGCCGCCCACACTCCCTAGCTTGTCTCTGCATCCCAGCCTCACTTAATCATCTGATACCTGCCTCTCCACGGTGGGCATCTGCAGCCATCTGTGCATGCTGTTACCATTTCTTGAAAGGTTCGTCATCTTACTCATCTGGCAAACATACAGACCATCCTTTGCGATTGAAGGTAGACATCGCATTGGATAAGACACACTCTAGACACAGCCTGTGGCTGCATAGCCCTTCCCCTTCCCGCCCCCTCCTGTCCCTCGTGAATCCATTGCCTTGTGTCTTGTTTGGCTGATTGGTTGCTTTTGCCATGTGTAGGGTTTTGTGTAGTATTTTGAGGGGAGAGGGGTGAGAGTTGTTGGTTTGTTTGGATGTTGGTTGATGGTTGGTGTTGTTGAGACAGGTTCTCAGTATGTAGACTAGAAGGGGACCTTGAATGCTCTATCCTCCTGCCTTAGCCTGGTGAGTGCCGGGGTTACAGGAGTATGCCACCACACCTAGCCAGTAAATATACATAGGTGAATGTATAATGTATAGTTTTTGTAGAATACTTGGAAAATTTGATGAAAAGGGCTTTTTTAAGAAAACAAATATGAATTCATAATTCTATATTTCCATATGAAAATATTGTTTGTAAACCAGGTGCTAGTGGCTCACACCTATAATCCTAGCTACTCAGGAGGCTGATATCTGAGTATCTTGGTTTGAAGCCAGCCTGGGCAGGAAAGTCTTCGAGACTCTTATCTCCAATTAAGTCTCAGAAAAAGCCAGAAGTAGTGCTGTAGCTCAAGTGGTAGAGTGCTAGCCTTGAGCAAATGGAGCTCAGAGACAACACTCCGGCCCAGAGTTCAAGCCTCAACAATTCCAGAGGGAGAGAGACAGACAGAGAGAGGCAGAGAGAGAGAGAAAAAAACAGAGAGAGGCAGAGAGAAGAAAAAACATTGTTTGTGCCAGGGCCGGTGACTCATACCTGTAATCCTAGCTACTCAGGAGGCTGAGATCTGAGGATCATGGTTCAAAGCCAACCCAGGCAGGAAAGTCCATGAGACTTTTATCTCCAGTATACCACTAGAAAATCAGAAGTGGTGCTGTGGCTCAAGTGGTAGAGCGCTCGCCTTGAGCTGAAGAGTGCAGCACCCAAGCCCAGAGTTCAAGCTCCACAACCAACCAAAAAAAAAACAAACAAAAAAACATTGTTTGTTTGTGTAACTGCAAATCCTTCCTTTAAGAAGTAACATCATTTATACAGATACTCTCTGTTGTTGGACTTTTTAAGTTTCTTGTGAAGTTTAGTTACTATGAATAATGCTCAAATGAATTTGTTCTTTGAGACAAAGTCTTACAAAGTAGTTCAGGCTGGCCTCGAACTCACCATCCTCCTATCTCAGCTTTCTAACCTCTGGAATTACAGGAGTACGCCACCATGCCCAGCTTAAATGACTGTTTCTGCATCTCTAATTAGTTCTTTATAATACATTCTGGACATGAAATCACTAGGTAAAACTTTCACAGCTCTAATGTCTCCCTTGCAGAAGATTAAAACAGAACAGTATTCACTAATGACTAGGAAGGATGGGAGGAGGCAGGATGTAATAACTACTGGTTAAAACAGTCCAGGATATTTTTTCGAAATGAGTGAAGAAATGAAAGTATGAAATTCCCAATGTATAAGAATGATTAATGTTGCTGGGGTGAAAATGTCATTGGTGTGATCTGATTACTGCTCCTAATGCATGTGTATTGATTAGTGTGGTCTGATTATTGCTCCTAATGTATGTGTATTGACTAGTGTGGTGTGATTATTGCTCCTGGTGTACATGTATTGATTAGTATGGCCTGGTTGTTGCTCCTGGTGTATGAGAAGTTGGTTTTCCATGTATGCCCTGTAAACATGTACAATACTATGTCTCCAAAGAAGAAAGGAAAGTCCATAATTCTGTATGTAAGGTACCAACATACTTATCTCAAGGAACTCTTTATCTTTTTTGAAGACTGAAGGCTACAAAGGCAAAAAGAATCTCTTCTTTGTTTGCCTTCTATTTATATTGTAGTCTTCTATGAATCTTGTAATGATAGTACTTGCCTATCTTTCTTAATGACAAGTATTTGATATCTTACAACTGCAATCCTAACTTTTTTTTGCTAACTCTTCAATCTGATATATGTCTTGCAATATTACTCTAAATATTTAATGTTCCTATAGGTTTTATACACAATTATCCATCTATGACTCTCTTAATTTCCCCTCCCATATCAAATACATATTTTCCTACTTAGAGATATACCTCAATGACATATTTTCTTTGAGTTCTGCTAGGGTTATTTTTTGGTCTTTACATTTAATGTTTGCACATTTAGAATTTATCTTGAAATATAGAGTGAGATGTGGTTCACACACACCATAACCAATTTTTCTGCAACCCTCCCTTGGGCATTAACAGGAATGCCATGAGAAGGATTTGCAGGGAAATACACTGTGTGAATTTGCTCTCTTCTTCCAGGTGAGCAAGAGCCAGCTGTGAGCAGCGATTCAGACATCTCTCTCATCATGGCCATGGAGGTGGGACTCTCTGATGTAGAACTTTCCACTGACCAAGACTGCGAAGAGGTGAAATCCTGAAATGGTGAATGTAGAAAACAAAGACAGCAGGATCTGAGGGCATAGAAGGTCAAGTGCTCCGAGGCATGGACCAGGCGTACAGCCTTCCAGGCCCCGGGGCTGCTCGGGGCCTCTCCGCTCAAGGATGGTAATGAAAGCAATATCCAAAGTCTCTTCATCAGGATTGAGTGTGCCCAGCTCGGCAACAGTCCATGGTATGGGCAGCAACGTGGAAGTTGAAAGCTGAGTTTTCCCCTCCCATGCCCTTGTAGACAAACACTCATCCGAAGCTCCTAAAGCAGAGACCGAAGGAAACCCTCGGGGTTTCTCCGTTCTGTTTCCATTCTTCCAGGTTGTATTGTTTTTTTGTGGGGGGGGGGGGGGTGGGAAGAGTGTGTGATTTCCTTGGAAATTTCTTTTAAAAGACTGTGTTGTCGTTGACACCAGCTCCTTTGTCCTTCCTTTGATTCACCGCAGCTCTATTGGGGAGCTCTGTGGAGAAGCATGCCGACGTGAGGTGCATGTGGCTTCGAGAGGAGCCTGACACCCCAACACGGTGTGTGGTCAATTCCCTGGCAGAGTCCAGACCCGCCCTCAGGGAGTCTGGAGAGTCCTGGCAGCCAGAAGTCCCAACGCTAAGTCCCACATCTGTGGTGCCCACTGCCCGCTACTGTCAGCCAGGCCACCCCGGCTTCCACCAGCCAGGATCTGGCCAAGTCCACTGTACCGCACCAAGGGGGCTGGAGTGGAAGACTTCAGCTCTTTGCGTGTTAGAGTCTTGGGCTAAAATTCTGACCTCACCAGTCACCACCAGGCCAGGCTTGCTAGACTTTGTAAGTCGTATCATGACTATACACCCAACCCCGTGTCTTCTTCCCGTGGAAGGGAATGCCACCAGGAGAGCAGTCCCGCCTCTCCATGGTGGGGTCTGCAGGAGGCGGTGGGAAAGATGCAGTGGTCCTTGAGCCCATCCCCCTCTCCCTTTATGTCCACTCCTTCTGATAAACCCAACCAGACCACTGAAGAACGTAGGGGAATCCTTCGAGGGTCACCTCTCAGGGTCCTTGAGAAAGTCCAGACACCAGGAAGGAATGAGGCACGATGGGTGAGTCAAAAGAGCGGTGTGGCGCTTTGCTGCATCAACTGACTGAGGCCAGGCAAAGAGCTATCCAGGAAGTCCTAACACCCGCCTGTGCTTTGCAGCTGTTTTCGGGTTCTTATCTTTATTTTTCAGTAACTGTGACAGAAACGCAGGCAATTTTGTAATAATCCCAACTGTCCCAGCGAGGAGAGGACTAAGGCAGTGGCCTGTGATGCTGGACAGTCAGAGGTGGATTACCTTCGCTTCCTAAGCAGCTGGAGGTGGCCGGGCAGCTGCCTGGATGAACTGTGACCATGAGTTCTTCTCACAGAGCTGTTTTCTTATATTTGATGAGTGTTCTTCCACCTCATGACACTGACACTCATACAGATAGCGTTTGGTTGGCCTGTAAACCCTCACTGCCTACTGGGATGTGGGATGAATGCCAGTCAAGAAGGAACACAGTTTCCTCTGCTTTTCCCACCTTTAAAGATCTCCTATTTGAGGGTTTCTCAGTGGACAGCAAGGCAGGGGAAATTGTCACCACTTTCCAAAAAGATCACATCTCCCTAAGATCCCAGGACTTCGTGGGATGAATTCCAGTCTCTATGGAAAAGAAGTTAGGCAAGGCAGGGTGAGGAGAACTCTAAACCAAGAGACGGAGGTCTGAGAGGAGTCATACCCCCGTGCGGGCCTCCACTTTCCCATCTGTAAAGGGAAGCATTTAACCCAATTCCCTTTGGATCCCTGGTGAGCACTTGTCCGCAGGATCTTTGCTTTCAGATGATCATGTCATCTATCAAGCAGGCTTCCAAGCTGGGAGAGGCAGAGTTCCTTAGCATGTCACCTGTAATAACAGCCTTGGGGAAGTGGAACTTTTACGGTGCTGAGAACAAATATCAAAATGATTCTAGTTTTAAATCCAAGGAGTAATTGGTTTGCTCTGCATTGCTTCGAAACCACTATGAAGAGTTGGAAGTCTCTGGATAGTGTCGAATTATAGTTCTTACCTTGGAATTCTTCATCTCAAAGGCATTTCTTTGTCTTGATCAGCATTGGCCTACCCGCCTCCTCCCCACGGCTCAGCTATGCTCCCAAAGTAATGTTGGTATTAACTGAGAATTTAAGAGCAAAAGAAATGTAAACTGTGTTGTGTTCCTAGAAAACAGCCCTATGGTCCTGATTGGTGAGGGCTTCCTCCTCCCATCAGCAGCTGGGTAAATCAGGGATTGAGAGCATATGTAATCACCCACCCCTGCTTGTCCCAGGGAATGCTGGTAGATGGTGACAGGTCCTGGCCCCCAGCTGGGGCCTGTGGATCTGACCCCAATGAGGACCTGCTGCAAACCCCCAAAACCTGTGAGATTCTCTAAGAGAATTGGAGGTATTTCCTGTGGCCCTGGCAGTTCAGATAGAATAAGAAGAGTTAAGCTTTTCAAATGAATGAAAAAGGACCTTCTTCACAGTCTTCCTTGCCACTTTCCCCAAAGATCCAGCGAGCTGGTGATCCACATGTGAGTGTCAGACCCTGTGTAGCTCAGCATGTACACCTGGTGTATCCGCAGAGGTGTGCTTTCCTGGAACAAGGGTCTAGGCCAACACTGTCCAACAAAAATACAATACATCTAATATTTTTTCTACTGCACACATTTTAAGAAATTAAAAACCAGGTGAAGTAGTTTTAATAATCTATTTTTATGAACCCAATATTACTGTTGGAACATGTGTCTGATGTAAGAACATGGTAGTGAAATGTTTTCCATTCTGTGTGTCTACTCAATCCATCGTGTCTTTTTCTAAATCTGCTGTGTCTTGTACACTCATGCCACACCTCAGTGTGAGCTAGCCACATCGCCAGCACCCTCCAGCCACTGGTCAGCCCAGAGCTAGCACGGCTCCAGTACTCTCGCGAGACTCCCCGATCCTTACAGGAGAGAAAGAGTAACACTCAAATACCTCCAGACAGAGCTAGACACCATCCAACTGCCTTGTGAAACACCCAGAGAGCCATTTGTTTTGTAATCAATAAAGGTCAGGCAGCCTCTAAAAAAAAGAAATTCTGCTTGTACTTTCTACCTACTAATGTCTAATAACATTGATTGTGTCTCCTCTATCAACTTTTTAAATTCACATCAAACATGTTGATTTGGTGCTGAAACAAAATTATATTTCTCACTTCCATGAGAACCTTATGCTGCTACATGGCCCTTCAAAGCCAAAGAATTGCAGACCAACGCCATCCAACATTACCTGAAGCCTAGTTGTTCCTCTTTCCCAGGCTTGGTAGAAGGCCTTTGCCCAGTCCCAGACTCCCTAACCCTATAGCACCAGCCCCAACTCACACATTTGGAAGGCCAGATGGGAAATTACATATGAGCTCCAAGTACAAGTGTGTGGGGCCTTATTGGAAAAGGATCTTTGGAGCCTGAGGCTGACCAGCCTTTATGTGGTGCATTATGAGCTCGTGAACAGCCAGCTTTATACTCAAGTCAGCGTCGCCAATCACCCCAAGCATACAGAGAAGGAAGAGACTTGCGTTCATTCAGAACTGAAGGTCACTTCCCAGAATGGCTTCTTCCATGTGGATAGTCTTTTTAGAAAGAGCTGACCATAAATGAAGCATTTGGATCCTGATTGTTGCCTAGGGTTTGTTAACCCTGGAATTTCAGTTCTCATCCAGCTAGTCATCCAGCCAGAGAAGCGGTGGATAAAACAACAAAGACACAGCAGTGTTGTCATAGCACATGGAGTCACTCCTGGCTATGAAGACCAGTCTCTGTCCACGGAGGGTGTTTTTCTTTGTTGTTTAGTTGATTGGTTAACTGATGGTTTGATTGGTTGATTTGGGTAGCAGCAGGAATTTGAACCCATAGCCTCACACTTGCTAGGCAGGCACTCTGCCACTTGAGCCAAACCTCTACCTGTTTTATGCTGGTTAATTGTATTTTGTTTTTGTTTTCTTTTGCCAGCCCTGGGCCTTGAACCCTGGGCCTGGGTGCTGTCCCTGAGCTCCTTTTTGCTCAAGGCTAGCACTCTACTACTTGAGCCATAATGCCACTTCTGGCTTTTTCTGTGTTTAACTGAAGGTAAGAGTCTCATGGACTTTCCTGCCTGGGCTGGTTTCGAAGTGCAATCCTCAGATCTCAGCCTCCTGAGTAGATAGGCACCCGCCTCTGCTAGTCGTTTCTTAAATAGAGTCTCTTCAACCCGTTTCTGCAGAGACTGGCCTTGAAACACTCTCAGCCTCCTGAATAGCTAGGCTTAGAGGTGTGTGCCCCTAGCCCACCATGGATGTTTGTTTGGTGTAGCATTTTCCTCGCATATGCATATTCATGAGTCACTGTACATATTCATGAGTCTGGATGTGGGCAGTGTCCAGCGGTCACCTTAGCTGCCACCTGAACACCCCCGTGGCTAACATACTTTCAGAACCAAAAGCGCTGACAGTCTGTATTTAGACAGGAAACCTTCCAGAGCCTAAGAATTCGATAACAGTTATCACTGAACACACGGTCTTGGCTGAAAACAAAGAAATCCCCTGAATCAAAACACTCTAGGAAGATTAAATACAGACTCACTTCCTGTGGTACCTAGGCCACTGTACCAATTTCCAGTAGCTTTTTTGTGTTCTCTTGGATTTCTTTCCCTTTTCTTCATATCTCTCTATGTCTTTATCTCTTTTCACACACAGGCACACACATACACAAACACACATTTTCCCCATCATCCTTATTTCTTCTTATTTTTTTCTTATTTCTTCATTTTCTTCCAGTCCGAGCAAAAACATTAATGACCACCTATATAATCGCTACCAATGTGGTTATGACTGTTGTTTGTGACGTGGGTGTTTTTCTTCTTTTGATTGTGGTAATATCTATACTTTTGCATCACACGAGGAAACCTGTGTACTCTAAAGACAGCCTAAGTTTCATCCTAAACTTGTTAACCTCATTGTTTTCCCTTGTGTCCCTAATTTTATCGCAAGCCACCTATAGCTATTACCTTTTTTATTTTTCTTTTTGCCTTTTTTTTTTTTTTACCAGACCAGGGCTTGAACTCAAGGCCTGGGCGTTGTCCCAGAGCTCCTTTTGCTCAAGGCTAGTTCTCTACCACTTGAGCCACAGTGCCACTTCTGGCTTTTTCTTACCTTATTGGAGATAAGAGTGTCACAGACTTTCCTGCCCTGGCTGGCTTCGAACCACAGTCCTCAGATCTCAGCCTCCTGAGTAGCTAGGATTACAGGCATGAGCTACTGGCACCTGGCACTATTGCCTTTTGTTCTTTGTCTAAAACCAATACAGACAAGTCACAATTCCAGAACGTTTCTCTAGATCTGTTATCTTGCACCAACAGATTTTGTGACCTTCATAGTTCACAGCGTGCCTGCAGCCAGAGAGGCCTT